ATATTTCTTTGACTTCTCATTTAAACCTGCTTTATTTAAATGAAAAGCCTTACTAAAAACAATTTCCAGTGCATTGGCAGAGATCATTGCACAAGACGAGGCAGCGGCAGCTGGCAGCCTTCGGACTGGCATTTGAAAGTATCTAAGTATCTGAAAAGACTTGGGGGCTGCTGCACATTCAGCTCTCCTCCAGCTCAAAGTAAAGTAAAAATTGCCTCGGCCCAAGGTAATGGGGCAATTAGCTGCAGCAAAAAAAAAAAAAAAACCTTCTGGGCCGCATTGGGTTAGTCAAACAAATGAGGCGAACGGAAAAACCAACTCCACCATGGACGGTCAATGAGCCACTCTCAGATACAGATACAGATACAGATACAGATACAGATAGATAGATATACAGAAATATACAGTTACAGATGCCATCGGGCAGATAGCCTTTAATTGGGTTTAACTGGCTGTCAATGGCCAGAGGCCAGTCAGCAGGGGGTTTATTTACTGAATGCAGAAGAGGGTGCAGGATGGGAAAATGAAGCATGATCAGGGTTCATCCAGGGGTGGCATGATCACAGAGGGGCAGAGAGAACGAACTAAGTTATGGTCAAGAGTCAGCAGGAGGTGCTCCTCGTAAATTAGCCAAAGTATAAGCCAGGGATTACAAATCGTTACATGTATAGATATACATAAATCAAAGCAGTGAAATATCTTTTATTACATATCATTTAGCAGTACTTAAATCCCCTTATATTTAACCCCAATTTTATATCACTTTGCAATCCCCTTCAGCTATCTAATTACTATGTAGGACAATATTTGCACAGCTCTTCTTCGTTTTTTAAGCAAAATATTTATCTATCTGGCAATCGATATGCCATAATTAGCTCCACTTCCGACACATTTTTGAGTGGCCAACAAAAACGATTTGAATTCGAAATTTGCAAAAATGTTGAGCTCATTTCTGATGATTTCGCATGCCTCTCAGGTTTCCGGCACGCGTTACCGCATTTTCAAGTGATCGCAGGAGCAGAAGATATATCGGAATCGGAGCTCGCCACGTTTGCCCGATAAATATATATATAATGACGATGTGGCTTTGGGACAAATTTCAGAGCATGTGCCATCGATGCAGATACAGATACAGATAAACAGAAACATACACAGATACAAATGCGGATACGAGGCATGTGTATCTGCCAGCCCTCATGCAATCTTGGTTTTTTTTTTTTACTGCCCCGCCTCTGCGGTTCTTATCAATGCTGCTTATCAGAATCACTGTCCAGCGGTATTCCCATGCTGCATTTTAAGCGGTTTTGCCCACTTTATGAGGTGGCAAGGCCAGCATTTGCCACAAAAGATAAGTGTACTATGGCTATCACCGACTTGTGGTTGGTCACTGTAATCGTCGGGAACTCTCTGGCCAAATATTTTGGTTTCGCCTCATTTCGAAATTGGGGTTTTTGAGACGCTTAATCTCCGTTTCGGAGCGAGAGACAAACAAGTTTGCACTTTCACTTGAGCGTCGTAGCAGAAGCAGCCCCCCGATAACCCAGAACTGGTTGTGGCGAAGCGAATGGTGCCGCTGCGGTCGCTAAGGTTCAGACCGCTGAGCAAACATCATGTTTCATGGAATTTCATTTTCAGACCTGATAAGGGAATGGAGTGACCTTACTCAATACAGGGAAATGGGGTCAAGCAACCCGAACTTAAAGGGGCAAGTTAAGTGGTTGTATAGTATATTATTATATAGTAAAATATAGTATGATATAGTATAATACTAAACTATACTAGTATAATATAGTACAATATAGTATGGTATCCTAAAATATAGTATGATACAGTACAACATAGTAAAATATGGTATATTATAGTAGTATATAGTATTGTTACATACAAAAGAAAATGTATTTAGAGCTGAAGATTTTGAAATAGTATATTTTAAATTAATTTTTAACCTTTTGGGTATCCTAAATCTAAAAATTTTTTAAAAATCGAAGTTCAATTTAACAATAGCAAGCAGCAAATGATAAAAAGAACTCTTTAATCTACAAAAATTAATTGCAATTAAATCATAAATCAATGCAAAATATGCAAATTTATTGAAAATAAAAGGATTTTAATAAGAGAATTGATATTTAGATAAATAAATCCATTAACAAATTCATTGATTTATTTATTTATCTAACGCTACCCATTAAATCCAATCAAAGCGCTTACTTAGGGTTAAGATACATAGCGCCCAAGGTCATCAGCTTGTTTTAAAATATAATAATATTGAACAAAAGATAATTTTTTTATACATACAAAATTATTGATTACAAATTAATGCTTAATCCTATAGCATTAAAGATTATTGAGACTGATTTATTAAATATCTATAGGCCTATAAATTTGTAAATAAATATACAAAATTAACTAAAAAATGTAGAAATAAAAAACCTAATTACATATAACAAAATATAAAAAGATAATAATGCAAAAGTTAAGATGCTAAGCACTTCCTGTGGTATCTTCAACTTTAAATTTTCATGTTAACTAAACCATTTAAGTTTAGGAATCATGCAACTGGTCCAGTCCCCTCTTTCTCCCCCTTCGCTCCGCTCTGCTCCACTCCCCTCCCCCGCCTCTTGAGGGATCCGTGAACTACATGTGCAAGTGCTTCATCAAGTTTTAGTGTGTCCGCCATAAACACTGCATAAAGATGATGGCATTAAGTCCTAAGCCCAGCACAAATACCCGCCAGAAATCCCCCGGCGAAGTGTAAAAATCCCAGCGTGAGTTTAGCTCAGCTTGCAGGGAAAACAGCAAACACAGTAAACATGAAAACATAGAAAAATGTAAAAAAAATAATAATAATAATAAACACCGCCAGAGCCGGTGGGGTGGGGGAAGGGAAAGGCAGCTAAGACCGCGATGTCATAAACAAGATAAATGCTTCTCTTAAGTCAAAGTTAATTGCTCTTAAATCAAACTAAGCGAGGCGATCGGAAAAGAGCAACACAGAACACACACACACCTGTGAATCAACGATCGTTATATAAAGCAAGTTTATTGCGGAAAAGCTCAAAAGATGCAGCAACTACGACCAAGATATCACTTGTATCTTTGAGTTACGTAAATGAGTTACTTTCGTGCGGGGGAGCCCAGTGCGAAAAAGCGAGTGAAAGAGAGCGGCGGCGCACTGAGAGACCGAGTGCAGCGCACAGATTGAGATACATAAACAAAACGGCAAAGCATGCGAAAAGCCAGCACAAAGCGGAGAAACAAAAACAAACGTCGTGAGAAACCGGAAAATTTGCCCAATGCCAAATGGCGGCTGTGTGTGTGTGAGAGCGCAGGCGCGCGAGAGAGCCGAAGCCGAACGAGGCCGGCCGAGTGCAAGAGCCGAACAGCCACGAACCCAGCCGAGCGGCCATTGCCGAAGCTGGCCGAAGCCCGGCGGCCGCAACGAGCGCAACACAGAATCATTCTTGAAATCGCGCGCGAACCTTTTGCACCATCACACCGCAGCCTGAGATACGAAAAAAAAAAAATCCGCAAGATACCGACAACAGTCGCCGCCACTCCGCCATTAAAGCAAAACTCCGAGGAAAAGCCAAGCGCTGAGCTCCGGACCGGAAAAGCCCTGGGAGCCGAAAAGTGCAAGTGAAGTCGTAGTCGAAGTCGAAGTCGTCGTTAGTAGTGGTTCGCAGCCAGGGGCGCGTGTGGGAGAAGTCGAGCAAAAGTCCCAGAAGCGGATAAAAACAAATTGGGTACGAGGCCTACTAGCCCAAATTCAAATTTCAGCCAGTTGGCCGACAAAAAGATCAAGCGAAAATTTGAATAATTAAAAATAAACACGCGCGTCGTGTCAGTGTGTGTGTTAGTGTGTGTATGTGTGTGCGAGTGCGAGTGCGTGAGCGTTAGGCGGGAGCGGTAGCGTGAGAGTGCGTGCGAATGCGGCGTATCCGTCAGGTACGCGGCCGCTGCTGACGCATTTTGCCAGACTACCGTTATAGTCGCCGTAGCCGCTGCCGGCCGGCTTTTTGTGCCCAATTAACGCACATTCAACAAATAGCTACCGGTGGAAAAACCAAGCTAAAACCCAAGATCAAAATCAAACCCAAACTTAAAACACAGCAAACAAAAATTTGCTAAATAAAAAATAACAAGTGCTAGAAGAAACGAAAATACTCGTGCAATAGAAAGAAGTGAAACAGCGCATAGCGGCTGAGTGTTTATAAATAACTAAACAATATACAACAACAAAAAAATAAATTAAGCAAAATAACTGAATGCAGATGTTTGGCATAATAAGTGTCACAATCAATTGCTGAGCGGCTGAGATCTTGAAAATAAGCGAAAAGGTGATTGCATAAGGAAATATCTATAAGGCTGCTGTTACCAAGTGACCTCATTCAAGGTTGCCGCAGCACAGAGCAGCGCAGCAATATCAAAACAATATCTTACGGATGCAGTTTACTTGGTTTCTCAATTAGCGCCCACGCGCCTCTGTTTTTATTTTTGTTTTGTATACTGTTTTTTTTTTTTTTTTGCATACTCACCTGGTGTGCACACTTACACTTACGTGTAAAGGTGGGCTTACGAAAGCGTTTGTGGTCTGTAATTAACCTTGAATCGCCACTATTTACGCTAATTCGCCCTGTGAACTATAATTTAATTGGGGTTTTTGCTTCTCGGAAATTATTATAGCCTTTCCATCGAATCAAATTTCCCCGGTAACTTGCCACCAAATACTATAGATATATTATTATTTAGAAATGTAACCGCCTTGCGTGACAGATGCAACAATGTTATGTAGATGCAGATAGCAAAAGGAATATGTGTACTTTCGTTTCCATTCGCCATTTGCTCAATTAGGAATCACTTTAAAGTGCCCACACTGGGTCATTAATTTTTAATGGGGATGCTCAATAAAGTTGCACACAAACAATTAAACCGAGTGACTCACTAAGAACGAATACGATAAGAAACCCTGACTAACCAATCTCTTCCCCCCGTTTTTCCAGGAACCCATTGAGCTGAAGAAGCGCCTGGAGGAAGTGCGTCTGCTGGAATCGCGACGCTCCGCCCGCTTGGCTGACCAGGATCGTGACACGGATTTTGCCAGACTCGCCGACATGAGTGGAGACCGCCGCCGAACCACCACACACAGTATTGAGGTGCCACCGCCGCTGACGCCGCAGCACAAGTGAGTACCGCCACACAGAATTTTTAATTTAAAGATACAAGTATATTAAAAAACAGGGAATATAATAGAGGTTTTAAAACAGATACAAGTATATTAAAAAAACAGGGAATATAATTGAGTGTTTTAAACTAAAGAAAATGGTATTTAATGTTGTCACTTCACTTTGAGAACTAGAATTATGATACAAACAAATATATAGTCGAAATTTAAGTATTATAAAGTCATATTTTTATAAAGAGGAATTCAAATTCTTGAAGAAATATTCATGTTCATGTTCAAATTCTTATAGTATTTTTCTTTCTTTTAAATAACTAAACCCTAATCTATCAAAATTCAGTCAAAAAACTCCTTACTTTTGTAACTTTGAATTTGCCAAGAAAATTGTGTATCTTTTTGTGTCGCAAAAATACTTCTTACCCCACCTGGTTTAATAATTTCTTTTATGCCCAACAACATTTTGCCGGTTGTACCCGTTTTTTTTTGTTTTTAATATTCTTCGTTCGTTTCGTGTTTTCTGTCTGTCTGTGTTTTGAACTTTTACTGGTTTTTGCATAAATATGCAACGATTGGCGTCTGTTTGGAGACTGGGCCATATCAATAATTTATAAGTGGCGACAAATTAGCGGAACCGGCCAGCAAGTCACGGACATCGACCGATCCATGTATAATATCTATAATAAAATTGTGTCTCCGTCTCTGCCACGCCCCAGGCTATTTAGCATAGACGCCGCCGCCGTTGCACTTACATAAAGAATTCCCACCAAAGTCCCCTTGCCTCCTAATAACGGATTCCTTTTACCCTTCTCCGGGCTGCTTTTGCTTTTGCTTTTGCCGGGCTCCGCCGGACGACAACTGATTGCAAAATAATTCAAATTTTCAATTACTATCCGCTCAGACGTCGCGACGACTACGTCGAACTTAAAGGCGGCGGCGACGACAGAAAAAAATACAAAATACGAAATACTAACATTTGATTACGAAGGCAAACAGTCGCGCCGGGTGTCATAGTCTAAGTAAATGCTCTTATCAGATACGGATATTTGAGCTTTTAGTTTTGCATGTGCATGGATGGTCTGGACAAAATGTAAAATACTATTTTTGCTTTGATTTAAGACTTATAGTGGCTTTTGAAACAAAAAAATATGACCATGCTAGGGAAAAAGCGTTTAAAATTAGGTATTAATATTACAGTGTGACCCTGCCACAAAAAATTACAATTAAAATTTCTGTTTTTCTAAAGATTTTAGATTAAATACTATCAAAATCTGCCTCAGGAAACACTTAAATATCATTTTGTCGTCAAAATACATATAGATCTAGATCATATCTTCTTCTATATCTCTTTATCTGCCATGTAGAGCATTCAATTTCCGACTTGCAATTGAAGCGATTGTCACTCGCCACTGATGATTGCGTATTCCATTTCAATTTCAATTGATAAGCTTCGCGCGCCGCTGTCGAAACTATTAGTCAAGTGTGCAAAAAGCAGAAGCAGCAACAGCAGCAGGCAGCGCTGAATGCCGGCCACGTTCTCAATTGATAATAAAAATAATAACAATAATAATCAAAATAAAGAAAGCAAAAAAAAAAAAATAATAAAGAAGGAAAAAACAGAGAAGAGCGAGAGAGAGCACGGAACTGAAAACAAAAAGCGCAGGCAGGCGGCACAAAAGTGGCGCGTCATGTCCAGCCATATGGCTGATAAGAAGGGGGGTTGGAGGGTTGCCGGAGGGGGTTCTATAGTGGTGGGTGGCACTGAGGGTAGGGGTTCGAAGTATTGATAGAGGGGGATAACTGAAGGGATCGAGGGGATTGGCTTTAGAGGGGCTGTTCAATTGCGTCGCAAAAGCCAGCAGCGACCATCCAAAGTCGAAACTGAAAACAGCTGGAAAAACTAAAACTAAGGCGGCAATGTTGCTGATGTGCATTGCTGCAGTTGTTGGTGTTGCTGCTGCTGCTGTTGTTGTTGTTCAAACTGTTACTGATATTGTTGCATTTATTGTTGTTGGAATTATTACTGCGATTGTTGGAGTTACTGAAGCTTTTTTTATAAGTGTTGTTGATACTGTTGTTGAAGTTGCAAAATTGTTCTTGTTGCATCTTTTTAGGTGTTGCTGTTGCAGATAATGTTGCAGCTGGCTTAGATTTCAGCTGTTGCTGCTGTTCCAATTGTTGCTTCTAAGATTGTTTGATTGCTGTTGATTATATCGTTGGAGTTGGTGAGGTTTCTGTTGGAATTATGTTTGTGTTCGTTAAAGTTGCTGGTACTTTGCTGGTTCTTTGCTGCTGCTACTTGCTAGTAATGTTGCTGCTTTGTTAGTTACTATTAAAGTTATTACTGTTTACTGTTTATGTTGCTGTTCCTAGAGTTGCTCCCATTTTCCCTGTGTAGATTCTGTAAACATTGCCATTGCTGTCGATGGAGAAAAAAAGAGCAACTGCAATGCGCCAAAAGAGACGCAAAGTCAACAAGCGAAATGCTCTTGCTCCATTCCGTTGTTGTCTGTAATAAAATTCAAATAAAATTCAATTGAGTTCAGCGCGAGTCGCTGCTGTGCCAGTTTAATTTAATTAATTACAATGGCGGAGAGCGCGAGATGTTGTGGCATGTGGCACCATGTGTGTCGGACACCCTGTGTGTGTGTGTGAGTATGTGTGTGTTTAGCCGCAACAACAACTAAAAACTAAAACAAAAGCCAAAAACTGAAACTAAAACTAAAACTGAAACTAAAAACGAAACTCAAACTCAAATTGAAACTGAAACTGAGACAGAATTTTTTTTGCCGGGTTTGCCCGCAATTTCGGTTTATCATTGGGACTGTTTTGCCGGTGCCGGTGCCCCCTCCGGTTTTTAGTTGTTATTGTTTCGAATCCGCGCCACTGTGAATACGAATGCGAATGCGGAAGTATTTTTTCCCCCACACTCACAGATACTCGGGCGGCACACACAGATACGCAAATAAGCTGTAAGCACAAAGCTTTCCAGCTGGAGGGGGTAAGAGAGGGTTGGGGGTCTCTATCGTCGCCATATTCTTTACGGGCTTTTGATAGAGTCACACACTCACTCACACTCACTCACACACACGTGTGCAATGATAACAACTCGCTCACCTTGCGCACAACACGCGCTTCTCGCGTAATGCGACGTAATATCACCACCCGTCACCCCACCCCCCTCTTTTCCCACCCACCGTAATCTACTCGCTTCCCTCACGGCATTCTTCTGCCTTAAATGCGTCTCTCTTTCTTTTTTTGTTATTATTAATTTACATAGTTTAGCTTACCCTCTTCCCCTTCTTGCTTCTCCCTTTTAGATAGTTTGAGTAAACAAGAACTTTATTTTTCTCAAGCAGCTTTTCTTTCATTTCCCATATTTGTTAATTTGCCGGGTAAACAAATCCGAGCTTAAATAATATTTACGTTTTTTTGCGGGCTTCCAGTCAAGGGTTTGATGTAATCATGGGTTCTTTGAGGGGATTCTTGAATGAAAATATATATGGAAAATATCTATCTATCTAGAATTAGTACTTTTAGTACTCCCAGAAGTGTTAAAATAACCCATTAACTCAATAAAAAGTAGCTAAATATACACACAAATCGAAAGTTTTATATATTTTTTAAAGTTTTTCTTGATTTATTATATAAAATTCGTAATGAACATCCACAGCCTTTCATTAACTGTCCCTTAAAGGCCCTTCAATTGCATTTTGACAGACAAAGAAGGCATAATAATACTGTGCAAGAAATAATGATAGAATAAAAAGGAAACAGAAGCGAAAAAAAGTAAAAAATTGTAGCAAATTAAATGCGGAAAAAAGTGGTAATAAATATAATAAGCGCGTAATTATCGCGTAAATGTCAATTTACGCGGCGAGTGCGTTGCGTCACTGCTAATTTTTAACGCTCGACTGATCCGCCAGACCGCTTCCCCTCCTCCAGACCCTCTCCCCTTTCCCCTCCCTCCTGCCCGGGGTCGTTTGTCTAATGAAAGCGTGTAAGCGTCAATTGGCCAGGTTATTCAGTTATAGTTAGTTAGTTGTTGTTGTTGCTGCTGGCATTGCTGTTGTAATTGCAATGATTAACAACAAGCAACCGCCTGGTGGGGGGAGGGGGTGGGGGAGCATGCCCTCACTCCCCCTCCCTCCCCCCTAGCCCTCGTTTATTGTAAAAACAAACAATATGGGAAAATTGCAGTAAAGCAAAGAAAAGCAAAAGAACAACACAGGCAGACACATACAATAACAGCAATAATAAAAATAATGTACAAACAAGTTTACCGTTGCAAAAACAAAGAATAAAGAAATCTACAAAAAAATACACAACAACAACAAATTCAGAACAACAACATCAAGCTGTAAATAATTATTCAACAAGTTTTTACATACGGTCATGGGAAAAGCGTAAATAAGAAAAAATTGTCGCTGCAATTGCCACATTTTATTTAATTATTATCAAAAGAAATAATGAGTTACTTGGTCAAAAAATATTCTTGGAACTAAAGGAAATCTTAAAACTTAAACTTTAGTTTATTTATTAGTCATGGTTATTGATTTGTGATTTATTTCAAAGCAATTTCCCATGACGTCAAGAAATTAGCAATAACAACGGGGGAAAAGCTCATGACAAAACAAGGAAAATATAGGAAAAAAGAGGTGGCTTCAGAGGAAAAAAAAACAGAATTATAATCCAAGTTGGTCTGGCAGCGGCAATTAGCCGAGACTTGAAAAATATTTGCTAGTATTTTTTCTGTTTGCCAGTTTGGCTTTTGTTTTCAGCTGCTGCTGCTTCTGGCAAGACTGTGTACAAATATTATTATGACCGACTGTTTGTCTTGCCCTCAAAAATACGCGCAAAAAGAAGCAAAAAAACGAGCGTAAAAAATAATACTTAATTTCAGTACAATAAAAAGTCAAGTCGAGCGCAAAAGTGGGTCAAAATTATTATTGAAGCAGAACAAAAACAAAGCCAGCGGCAAGGCAACGATAATGGCAATGCACCAA